GTAAGTACTCTGCACTGGGCTGTGCTGAGTAAGTACTCTGCACTGGGCTGTGCTGAGTAAGTACTCTGCACTGGGCTGTGTAGCTTTCTAAGTAAGTACACTGCACTGAGCTGTGCTGAGTAAGTACACTGCACTGGGCTGTGCTGAGTAAGTACACTGCACTGGGCTGTGCAGCTTTCTAGGCTTGGCGTCTCTGATTCTGTAAACATACCAGCTGCCTTTTCTTGAACGTGTATCTGTACTTTAACACTCAAATGTTTCACATGCTATAGAAATAAGAATGATTACAACCTCTTACATACACCCTTGCTGCAGTGTTTGAGGGGTACACTCACTGTCGATTCCAGTATCGATAACATGAGTGTACTGACAGATGGTTTCTCCCTGCAGGAAGTATGAGCAGGCCCTGGAGTACCACCGTCAGGCCCTTGTTCTCATCCCCCAGAATGCTTCTACCTACGCCGCCATTGGCTACGTTCACAGCCTTATGGGAGATTTTGAGAGTGCTATCGACTACTTCCACACGGTAGGGCTGCTTAAACACTTAGCAACTATTCCCTTCCTGGGAGTATATGTTTATCTGTGGAAAAATCTGATGTACCTCAAAACTTTCCCAGTTTAATGTATTTTTAAATAACCTTTGATCTGATACAGTCTCTCCCCAAGTTATGATGGGGTTACGTTCCAATAAACATATCGTAAGGCGAAAATGCATTTTAATACAGTACACCTAACTTAACAAACGTCATAGCCTAGCCTACCTTATACATGCTTAGAACACTTACATTAGCATACAGTTCGGCAAATTCATTAAAATCATTAAAGCGTCTGTATATTGATTTACGTGTATTTTTCCCTAAAATTTTTTGACAGGCACTTGGCCTTAAAAGAGACGATACGTTTTCTGTGACGATGTTAGGACACTGCATTGAAATGTATATCGGTGACACCGAGGCCTATATTGGTGAGTTGCAGTGGCACGGCCTGCCCTCTGGGGCCCACGGCCTGCCCTCTGGGGCCCACGGCCTGCCCTCTGGGGCCCTTGGGGAAGGATGGTGCAGAATGAGAACACTGCACTGTTTGTTTTAGGCACTGACATCAAGGACAAGCTGAGGAGCTCCCTGGGCGCGCCAGCGCTGATGAAGCTGCTCGACACCTCTGGGGACGCCAGTGAGTTCCAGCCCCTGAACGAAAGTTTTATGAGAACCCTTGAGTCGTCCTCCCCCAAACCGGAGAAGCCATCAGAGGCCAGCCTCAGGCGCACGACCACGCTGGAGTTCGACATGTACGAGAGCGACATGATGCTGGAGACGTCGATGTCTGATACCAGCACATGATGGTCCAGGGCCAGATCAAGGCTGTCAGCATGTGGCGCTTTGGACAGTGGGAACATCAAACTCAGATCTTCCCTATTCCTCCCATCAGAAGCAATGTCTGTATTAGTTTTACCTGTGGATTTTTACTTTGAAATAAATGAACTGAATGCAAGTGAGGCTTCGCAACTCTAACAATCCCAACAATAAACAGTATGTTCATAGTCGCTTTTGTGATATCTACAGTATCATTGAGAGATTTTTTTTTCAGCAGAAAGTTGTGGCCGACTTCCTGTATCTAGAGCCAAATATGCACATGTTCACTTTTGTAGTAACAGAATATTAAAGGTTGTCTTGAGGCAGGTATGTTTGAGGAGCATAAATGTGAAGGTTCACGTTAATCACCAGCAGGGGGAGCTTGCTGTTCAAATTCCAGTAAATGAACCATATGGTGCTGATCTCAAACCACATGTATTAAGCTCCACTGTAATACCCATTGTATCAGCCTGCTGGTGTTTTCCTGGAATTTCCATCATACTCTGTCATTGCTAAGCAGTTTTACAGAAATGGTTGCCTGCAATTTTCTCTTTTCACTTTGCCAGAGTCCAGGGCCCTGATAGAATATCGGGCCTCAAATTCAAACTGGCTTATGCAGCCACCTTGGCAGCAAGATATTTGCAGTACAGATGAAGAGCGATTTGAGCAAGTCCTCTAAAAGTACTCTAATAAGTACTCTAATTTCAGATACAGGTTTTTACAATGTCAATGAAGTTTTATCCGTGATGAGTCTTAATGGCTGCACTTGTGCTGTGTTAATAACTACACTTATTAAACCATTATTATTCTCTTTGCAAGTGAAATGGAAATTCTGCTTCTCATATATTACTGAAATGTTCTTTCAGTAATCTTTATAAAAATTTCTTGAATAATAATCAGTATAGTCTTTTTATTTATAGTTTCAATGACTTCCACTGATGGTCAAACTTACGAACTATGCTGTAAGAAGGACTTGTCTACGTACCCCTGTTACCAGAAGTACATCATTATTTGTACAAGCTAAGGTATAATGTTTACATTATTTACTTTGTAGGTTAAATACACTAATATTTTTATTATTTTATAGTGTTTTAATGTAGCTGCACTCAGTCATCCAGTGAACCTGATCTCATACAAATTCCAAGACTTAACTATGTGTTAACATTTATTTATATATATTTTTTTATTTCAGTTGAGAACATTTACACTGGTGCAGCATGGTGGTGCAGTGTTTAGCCTCTTGTGTTGACTACGTCTGTGTGTCCTCCCAAAGTCCAAAAACACCAGGGGAAGTGGTCCCTCAAAATTGTACCTAGTATGTGTGACAGTGTGGCCTCTGATCGCCTGCCATCCCATCCAGTGCATCCGCAGCGCACTGTCTTGAGCTTCCTGTAATAGGCTCTCCACAAATCGGTACTGGATGAAAATAAATAAATTGAATTTCATTTTCAATGTACATATGTAGAACTGGCGGTCAGCTCAGTGGGTACCACTGTTGTTCAAATCCTCCTTCTAGTCTGTCTATGTAGTTTGCAAGTTTCCCTTGTGTTGTGGGGGTTTCAATCGGGAGGGTGCTCCACAAAGCAGGATTTCTTGCTTAGCCGGATAACTTGTTGGATATAAGGTAGTCTGGGCTAAATGGACTTTATCTTCATTCACTTATATTTAGTCCAGATTACCTTAAATCTGACAAGTTATCCTGCTAAGCAAGAAATCCTGCTTTGTGAAACGGCCCCCTGGAATCCAGAGATAGGGTTACTGGCATCTTTAAGTTACTTATTCTGCGTATAAATATATTTGTGCCCTGTGATGGCCTGCCACAGTTACCCCGCCTTTTGCCCTGCACAGCTTGGAATAGGCTCCGGCACACCCATAATCCTAAGCAGGATAAATGGCTGGAAGATGGATGTATGAATGTGTAAAACTGGTCTTTTATTTTTTTCACTTACTTTTTCCTAAATCCATTTGACCCCAGAGGACAGTCCCTCAACAGGTTAAGCTTAAACAAGCCCTACTCTTGTGTCATTTGTCTCTTGTGTCATTTGATTTTCTATAATTAAAATCAAGTGGGGGGAAAAAAGATCATTTATATATGTACATTTCCTATATGTCTTCCTAGTATCATATAATATCCTGAAAGACAGCAGTGGAGGTGACACAAGGTTACTGATTGTTCATGAGTCTGATTGCAGTTGGGTAGAAACTGTTCCTGAACCTGGAGGTGCGTGTCGGAATGGACTTTAGTCACTTCCCAGATGGGAGGAGGGTGCAGGGTGGCTGGGGGCGCGCCTGATACAGTTCACTTTCCTGAGACAGCGTGTAGTGGGGATGTCATGGATCGCAGGGAGATGTGCGCCCGTGATCTTCTGTGCTGAGTTCACCACATGCTACACCTGTACACCTGTAGAATCTGCACAGGGTTGTGGGGGACATCCAGGCTTTCCTCAGTCTCCTGAGGAAGTAGAGGCGTTGTTGGGCTTTCTTGACTATTGCCACAGTGTGACTTGATCATTTAAAGTCATCAGTGAGCACCAAAGGTGCTACTAAAATCACCAGTTCCACCATCAACTCTTCATGTGTGGAATGTCTGTTCATTGTACAGGGAATGTTCTTTCCACAAAAACAATTAAATGTGAAGATAAAATAAGAATCCTCTGAGGTTTCGTAAACATAACTGGCCATCTACTAGAGCACCTGCTCCTTCTGCATAAGAACTACTCTAACTGAGCATTTTGAAATGATGTTTTACAATTATTGAATATGCTCCTGTAGAACATACACAAACATACTTTCTTTGACAAGGTAACGCGAACTAACTTAAAGAATGCATCGATGCAAGTGTCACAAGCGGAATGACAGTAGTATCAAAATAAGAGCCGACCCATCGAGAACTGCTTCCGGTCACATGGTATCAGCTCTGCATATGATTGGCAGACATACCCTATGCGTAAATAGAGTACCATAGCAGCCTTTTCTGTTATGGGGTTATGTTTCTGTCGATCCCGAATTCCATATACCGTTACGATTTTAATAATAATAATAATAATAATAACAACAATAAACTTATGGACACATTCTAAAAATTGCTCGAATGACAGTCATGTTAGATGAGAGGGTGGGTAATGACAACCTCTCTATCAAGAGTTGTACATTAGATTCTCTTACGGCTTCTACCAACATATTGTTGTTAATCACTGTAGCTGATTCCATATAATCACACGCAAAGGAATCCTATGAGAAAATATGCCAGTAACTACCGAGCGTCAGACTGATCTCAGCTACATGCACACAAAACGTGTCTCATCATTCCGTTCACTACAGACGCCAATTTGGTTTAATGGTCTCTAATAACAGATTAAAATTATTTTTAGTTGCGGGAGAACCTGCAGGTATGATTTGCCGGTAAAGCAATACCGCTGAACACCAGTCGCGGAAATGCTGAGATGGTTTTGCGGTGATGTTGCTTCATATCCACAGCCAAAGGAACATATGAAGCTCATCAAACAGTGAGTATTAAATATTAACGCCGCATTTTCTGAATATAACGGTATGAATACGTTTCAATTAAATGCCAAATTACTTGCAGGACAGTAGCATACTTGCTCTAACCCAAAAATTTTAAGTCCTAAATACAGTACATGATCTAGAGATAAAAGACAGGTAAAAACACATTTAATGTGTTTCAATTCAACCACGTTCCTAATAACAGAATACCGTATCACCCTCTGAAAGGATCAGTAAAATGGATCCTTTATGAGTGATCATCCTCATAGTAAATGAGATTAGGAATGACCTAATCACAGGCATCCAAGGTGTATAGATTTATTAAGGAATATCTTGGCAGGAGAGAATAATATTTGTTAGTCAACATAGACTTTTAACTTTACAGATGAATGGTCAAGGGGAGCTAATGAATTTCAAGAAAACAATAAGCAGTTGTGTGGTGAGACATCGTCTCCAGTGTGCCTTCTGCAGTTTCCAGTGCAAAAGCAATGTAACATATCAGATTCATATTGGCACCTACCACCCAGTGCACTGTGAGGACATTGACCTTGGGCGTCTTGGTAAAATAATCTTCTACCAGAGAAGCGGCAAGCTTTTCCACTGTCAGACGTGTTTTTTCACAGGGAAGACATTTGCTTGTGTGTATGACCACGTCATCTCCAGACATTGTTTTGCACGTAAGGCCAAGCAGAGCAGGAACGGGGACCCAAAAGACTACCTCAGTGACAGCAATGACAGCAAGGAACACAACGAAGAAGACAACCTGGACACCTGTCACAGTGAGCCGCTGGACTCAAAAATTGCGGAGCATGAGTATGGAGGAGATCCCTCAAAGTTTGCAGCTCTGAGCAACCTCAAGATTGAGGAGGAAGAGTGTGATGATGAGTATTCTCGCTGCTCTGGCTCCCCTAGCCAGGCCTTAAAGAGAAAGAGGGAGGCTGAAAGTGATGAGGAGCATGCCACAGATGACGATTTCCCAGACTATTCCCTAACCAAGGAGGAGCATGATGGAGCGAGAGCGGATAAAGCAGAGCTGTCCAAGTACTTCCGTCGCAATGGTGGACGCTACTATTGCAACATCTGCAACTGGCGTGTCAAGATGAAAGGCTTCATGCTTCATCACGTCAGCAAGAAACATGACATCCCCAAACCTTACATCTGCAAGGAGTGTGACAAGTCTTTTCTCCTGGAAAGCATTCTCAACAGCCACATAAGCATGATCCACAAGCAGGGGATCTATCAGTGTCCCTACTGTTCTTTCAAATCCAATTTCTTGCGTGGCATCCGCAGACACTTGAACCACTGCAGCTCTTCCCGGGCAGAGGGTTGGGTGTCAGACAGCGACGAGCACTTAGATGATCAGGATTAGTCTCATGCCTGGCCACTCTTCATTCAGACTGCAGTGTGCACTTTCAAGGGGCTCATGTCTGTTCCTTCACCTGAAGCCCATCCAATACTTGATTACAGTAGCAGATAACACTTTTCCAGGAATGATGAAGTGCTGCACAAAATATTGGCCACTGAAAGAGACAAGTCCAAATATTATTATTGATTTCCATGCTTGATTTTCATCAGCAAAGTCCTGAATAAGCTACAAGTGTCTCATCCCATCAATAATCTATATTCGGATAGTTTTTATGAACTGGTAGAGGGAAAAAACAAAGAACTTATCACCATGAATAGTATTGTTACTACATGTTGAAACTGTGATTCAGAAATGTATATTTTCCTATGAATTTTCTTTGTGTTAAATGTCCAAATTGTTTAGTTTTTTTGTTGTTGTTTTGTTGATGTTTTTCTACAATCACCAACAAGAATTTCTCCATATTGAAATCTCTTCATACAAAACTCTTCATACAATTAGCACAAAAGTGTTAAAAATTCATGATTTATTCAAGGCAAAACCTGGAACAAAATAGTATGTCTCTGACAAATAAAAAATATATGCTTTGATGGAAAAATGTACCGTTTAATTTTCTGGTATGTAAACAAAGTGACAGTGCTTTTCTGTTGCAGCAATCCAGGAGGGTTTGCAGTGTTTGCAAAACTCAGAAGTCGGGGGTAGAAATGTTAATTGTAGTTGAATAACAGTGCAGATTTAAAAAAAAAAAAACGTTTGCCTAGCTGTTACTCATTGGTGAATAGAATAGAATATCTTTATTGCCATTGGACATGTACTCTGTGTGCTTCCCACCAAAGCTGTACAAGATAAATCTACTGTATACTAAATTATGAAAAGTATTGCCTTGAAAATACAAGTGTTAGTAACAACATGATATGCTCTGTTGACTGTAACAAAAGAACATAAAAAATGCCATCCATCCACGCATCCGTCCATCCATCCATGCATCCATCTTTATACCTGCTGGGATCATGTGGGATGTAGTGTGTTTGAAGCCTGTCCCAGGAAGAGTGGCACATGAGATGGTCTACACCAGGAAGAGTGGCACATGAGTCGGTCTACACCAGGAAGAGTGGCACATGAGACGGTCTACACCACACTTTTGAGAATTCATATGTATTACTATAAAAATATGTGGGGCCTGCAGTCACTGTGTTTTTGTATGTTTGTGTATTAATGAAAAAAATGAAATCTTTGTAGTCGTGTGTCGTGTTTCACATTAATCGGTACTTTATCTGCTTGTATTCATTATCGTTGAGATTTCCTGTCATCTACTCATCATCTGCAATGAGTAAAAATGAAAATGCCAGTTAGTAACTAATAAGTGGAGATAACGAGTGACTCAGAAAACATTCTGTTAACAATTCGGGTCCATCTCACATTAACTGTATAAAAGACTTCATCCAATTGTTTTCTCTGGGTTTTCAAAGGTCAGAGATTTGTCATTTTGCCCATTCGTTTTTCATGACTTTAGTGTGGTTTCCTGAGTACTACGTGTACTTCCTTAATGAAAGTCATAAAATGCTAATCAGTTAAGACACATTCACCCAACATAGCCAGCTAATCTTTGCTAATCTATCTAGGACATACATCCTTATTCTTTTCCACAGAAGCACAAGTTCATGTGGTTTCATATAAATATACTCATAACAGTGAAATACAGTAGTATTAATGAAGAATGTATATGTGAACAGTGGTTTTATCTGGTGAATTTGCCATTTAAAGGCATCTGAATTATGTCGGTATGCCACTGGAACCTGGTGTCCAAGCACACATTTCTTTAGGTCGGTGACGTAAGAATGTTTTTTGATGGCTGTTCACTGCACACTTTCAGACCGAAGCAAGGGAAATATTGACGCAGTTTCGTCTGTGCTTCCTAAGGACCTATCAGGCTGAGACAAGCACTCGTGCGAGAGAACTGTGTTTTATTGTAGACGTCCCTGAACAGAAATTGCTATTACACGATTATTTGGTCTCTCATTCATCATTGAGTTATTTTTCTTTCTTTTTTTTGATCTTACTGTTCATTTGAAGGTATTTTCATATCCTCTGCAACGTGAAGGTATCCGCATAGCTGTAATGGAAAAGGTGAGTGTCAAGTTACTTCTTGTCTTAATGTCTGTCTCATATACATGAAGATTTTCATAAAGCTTTAGCAACTTCACATGAAACTTATATGTTCAATTCGCGGCATTATATTATAGTGTATTTCCACTGTATCATCCATTTATATATAAAACACACACATATAAAATGCTTCTATATTACATATTAATACAATATGTAAAAGGTTGTAAAAATTATTTTTATTTTTCGCTAAGCTGCAAAGTTCAATTCAGCACAGTTACAAAATGACCGTGGAAATTTCCTGAAAGAATTGTATTTTATTCTCTTGACTTCCTCAAACTTATAATTCTGTACTGATGTTTAACCTGCACAGTTGGTCACCAAAGTGCTTCTATTTTTCAGTAATTGGGAAGATTCATGTGCAGATGGATTCATTAAATAACATCTCAATTCAGAATATTAGCGCCAGCACTTTAGAGATGGTGACCAGCCCCATCCTGACACGGTGGGTGCCAGGTGTCTACCTGTTGGTCTTCGTCGTCAGCACACCTTGCAACATTGTCTCCCTGTGGTTACTCTGTCTCCATACCAAAAACAGAAACCCGACCATCATTTTTGCAATTAATCTATCTTTAACCGACCTCATCTACAGTGCCTTCCTGCCCTTTCAGATGGTCTACCACTTCCAGGGCAATGACTGGCCATTTGGAAGGATTATGTGTAGCATCTCCACCATTGTCTTCTACTGCAACATGAATGGCTCCATCCTGACCACCTGTGCCATTAGCCTGGAGCGCTACTTGGCCATTGTGTACCCGCTGCGCTCGAGACACTATAGGACAACCAGGAACGCCCTTCTGGTTTGTGTGTTCATCTGGACCTTAGTGCTATCAGTCCAGGTGCCTGTGCTGTACAAAGACATCACCTTCCGAGTCCACCAGCTCAATGTCACCACGTGCTTTGACATTCTGCCAAAAGGCCTGTTCAGTCACATGACCCTGGCGTTCCTCTACTTTGGTGCCTTGCTTTTGTTCTTCTTCATGGTCCCTCTCCTTGTACTGGTCGGCTCCTATGCCTCCATCCTGAAGACGCTTTGCAGCTCACGGCACAGAGACACGTGGCAGTCAAAGAACCAAACCATTGGTCTCATTGTGGTTGTGATGCTCTGCTTTGTTTCATGTTACCTGCCAAACATCCTGCTTCAGACTTTACACCTAGTCTACTTTGCCTATGGGAGGAGTTTGTATGTTTATTACAAACTTTCTCTGGGCCTCAATAGTTTAAGTTGCTGCATTGACCCATTTATCTATTACTTTGCTTCAAGGGAATTTCGACAGAAACTTCATAGGAAACTCCTCTGTTGGTCACATGATGAAGCAACAACTGAAGCAAGAATTGATTTGACAGATCTGAGGAATACAACTGGGGAAACTTCAGATAGACACAGGATGCTGTAAAGCATCGAATATCATATACCTGTGAAATAGTGTGACCAGATAATCCATGTCAGGAAGGACACTGAGCTAGAACAGGATTTAGGATCTTCAGTAAACTACCATGTTTATTAAAAGGACCTAGATTTCACTTTAGCACTGAGTTCTTGTTGCGTGTTGATTGGTCAGTCTCCATTAATCATGTATGTGTCACTAATGTTAATGTGAAACAGCTGGATTAGACTTTCAACTGAGGAAACAAATCAGTCGAGTACAAAAACAACTGAACTGCATAGCCAAACACAGGAGCCTTTCAGTTTTAAAGTAGTTTGTAAAACCTGAAGCAGCTCAAAGTGTCCGGGGTGACATGGATTATCTGGTCGTCCTACTGGAATAAAGCTGCAGCTGTGTAGATGGATACTGCATGTCAGAATCAGTGGGAAAGATAACAAGCCGTAAGTTGGACCTTTTGTCAAGAGAGGCAGACTAATTCTGTTCCTCCATGTGAAAAGCAGAAGTTGTGACATAAGGGGACTTACTAAAGATAAAGGACTGTTTTGTAATATTAAATTTGTTAGCATGGAAGCTTCCAACAAGGCAGGTAAAATTCCAAAAAAATCTTCAAATGAAATCAATTCTACAAAGAAATTCCAGATAATTATTAAATAGTATGACCTCAAAACATAACATATGTTAATGATGATGCAATGTAATAATGTACAGTGTTCGTTGGACATTGTATTCATTTTGTATGATTCTCAACAAAAAGTGCAAACTGTTTGTCCATTTTCCCGATACTTGGTGTTATACAGTCATTAAAAATGCATCTATTTTTAGCTGTATGTGACTAAACACTTCAAAAGACTATTGTCTGTGTCCAGTGTCTATCAGTATTAAGCATAAAGCCCCCTTTTTTTTAAATGGAAATAACAGCCCGGATTTTAATCAGAGGCGCCAGAGACTTCTGATTAACATAAAATGGGAAACACTTTATTTGCAGACAGTTCACTTAATACATGAAGTTTATTTCCAAAGATACACTGTGGGTAAATGTTACCTGTTAGCCGTTAGGCTTTCATGTCTGCTTGTTCCATACTGCCAAATAGCCGTTTTTTGCAGAAGAAGACGTACCCGTTTCCTGGAACATCAACGGCCCCCACATTAACATCATTGTGAGAGAAGGGGAGGGGCTGGCTGTAATGGCTCATCTCAGTCTGTCCTGCGGCCAGCAGCGATGCACGTTACTGGGGCGGGGGGGGGGGGGGATTCCCCTTCTCTCACTGTTTCTCACCCCCCTCCCCCCTCTCAAATCATATTTCCATATTTACTTGTTACCCTTATCCCAATCTCAGCATAATTTCGGTGTTTGGGATACAGAACATGCATTTGTTGAACTTCCTTCATCTCATTTGTGCAATTATCAGCATTGGTGCTAAGAGGCTTTTGGTAAATACCTGTTGCTTACATATCAACTAGAAACAGTTTGAAGATAGGATATGCACTATTCAGTTTGTTCAATGCCTACAGCAAAGGTCAAACAATGTATCTTCATTCTTGCACTGATGTCACAAATCTGTTTGTAAAGTTTGTACTCTGCTTTTGGAGAGTCATTGGGACTGGGACGTAGAAACGTGATGCTTTTCCTCTCAGTGCCACATCAATGTTACTTCCTCCTCCGAGCCATTCTCTCTTAAATGTGATTTGAAGCGGTAAGTACACATTATTTTTTTTCCGCACAGAAAAACACGAATGATATCAGCATTCTTCCTTTAAGTACAAATTTTAGTATTACTATTATTGCAAAAAGAACACAAAGAACTATTTTAGTGGTGTCAATTAATGCAGATGGAAAAGTGATTTAGCAACCTTGCGTTTGGGACAGATTCGTTAGATGTTCATAGCTCACAAGGGCCTTTTCACTCCTCTGACAGGAGAAACACTGGTTTCCCAGCTCTTAGAAATATATAAATTCTCTCAGGTGATTTAGTTGTTAATTGTAACTGTTCTATTAGAGTTTCATTGTAAACACTTACACCTTTACAGATTACGCTACAGGATGCCATGGTTGTAATTATTATCAAAGGGATGAAACGATCGCAAAGGCCCACATGTTTTGTGGGTCGGGAGCTTTTTTGCCAGATGCTGGATATATGTGTTAGGAAAGTAAATTCAGAAGAAGTGCTCAAACTGAAAAGTAAGATAGACAGACAGACAGAAAGATCAATGAATGGCCGCATTTTCAAAAACGTATTCAGCATTCATAAGCATAGCCAAGGTTATTATTGAAAAGTATTGCAAAACTCAACAGAGGGTATTAAAAGATCGCTAAAATGAGTTGTCGCAAAACATTTCCCATAGTCTGTCACCTACTTTTTCTGTATTCTTACTTTATCGTCTTCCGCCATCACTTCAAAGTCGCACATCTCTTAAATTATAAGGTATGACTAATGCAGTGAGGAAAAAGGCATCAGAGACACTGTCACTGTTTTTATACTGCATGTGAACTTTGTTTAGCTTAATTTTGATGTTTAGTTTTAGGAATTGCAATTATTGTGGCTCAGTTGATCAAAGTAAACAAATATTGGGGCAATTTAAGTCATTTGCACCTGGTGACAATACAGGCTCCGTACCTCTGCTTTGGTATTTTAAGGTGTCCAGAGGATTGTGGAGAGAAGCCTCTGTGCCCTGTTTTGCACGCCAGCTCCCACCATGAGACTCACCAAAGTCACTCTTCTGCAAAAAACACAAACTGCAAGCTTGGCCAGTGACACTTTCACAGCATTAAACTAAATATATAAATAAATAAAGTTATCACATTATTAGTAATCAAGATGTTGATAATACTTCACTTGAGAGGGCTTAGATAATGTAGTATTATGCTATTACCTGCATATTAATTAACCACAAACTAAGTCTTAGTTACATTCTGATCCAACTGCTATCAGATTGATGGCAAAAACAGAATAAAGTGGTGTTTTGTTTCAATGATTGTGTTGCAGTCCAGCTGAAGAAGTATTTGCTTTCACTGTATTTGTAAAAATTGGTTTTGGTGTTAAATTAATATGCATTATGTTATACACACATTTCAGTTTGCTCTGATGCATGCATAATATGTGTAATTAAAAAAATTAAAAATATATTACTGAATATTTTCTGTTTTACAAAATCACTTACTAAATTGCAAAATCACCACTGTGTTGTGATTGATAATGAATGCGAGAGTACACTGATTTACCATAAATCATGTTTATGAGTAAAGGAACCTAGATTTTTTTTTCTAAATGAATTCACCTTGAGTCACAGAAACCTTTCACACAGTTGAGATTACCCGTATTTCGGGCTATATTCAAATCTCACCTTGCCACCATCATATGTCAAGGCATCAGCAGAGAGGCAGATGATTTGCGATCTTGTTTTATTTCTCATTTATTTAACATTTAACAAAGGGATTTTTTTTGTTGCATCTGCAAACTGCTCTGAGTGTCCTTTTCAGGTAAGAGAAATACATTTATTAACTTTATTGATGTGAAAAATGAAACAACAAAAAAAATCATTGCAGAATGCAGGATGTTATTAACAGTCATGATATTTCATATGATGTACAGCAAAATGCAAATCTGATGACCTGCAGGATCAATAATGTATCAGATATTTCTTTCTCATAATTTTGCTGTCCTTATCAACCCATTTCACCACTATGAATGCTGATAGGGTGCAGTATAATTTATATGCACGTACATATACAGTACAGTATACATACATATATTCTAAATGTTCTGTCACATCAGAATAATATTATTAGTAAAGAGCGGGTAGTACAAAATAATTAATTTTAAACTGTAAAAAAAAATTTTGTAATGTTCCTATTTTATAATACACGTCATCATATTTTAATGATCCACACGTGTATTTCATGTATTAGTAACATGTTAACATTGTTGTTTTTTTTTTACATATTTATTACAATATAACATAATTTAACATTCACAAACAATCCCATGCTTTATGGATGATGATGTTTAATCATTGTATGTCTTTGTCTAAGTGATGTACAGCAGATGAGTTGAGTCACATACAGGTCTCGTGGAATGCATTGCTCAGTGCAGGTCTCCCATGTTCTACTGCAGTCACATTGCATGGTCCACTGCATTGTCCAGTGCAGGTCTTCCATGTTCTACTGCAGTCACATTGCATGGTCCACTGCATTGTCCAGTGCACGTCTCCCATGTTCTACTGAATCACATTGCATGGTCCACTGCATTGTTCAGTGCATGTCTCCCATGTCCTACTGCAGTCACATTGCATGGTCCACTGCATTGTCCAGTGCATGTCTCCCATGTTCTACTGAAGTCACATTGCATGGTCCACTGCATTGTTCAGTGCATGTCTCCCATGTTCTGCAGCAGTCACACTGCATGGTCCACTGCATTATTCAGTGCTGGTCTCCTATATTCTGTTGCAGTCATATTGTTTTGCCAGGCATTTTCTGTTGTGGTTTCCGGTAGCACAACATGAAGAAGCAATCTTTTCTGTAAGATTCCCAGCCTTATCTAAGAATGATAGAATCCTTGCATGTGCAGGATGTTACAAAACAGATAAACTTGTATTTCTAAGAATACAGTGATCCTGCTTTGGGGTTCAGGATGAGTAAACCTATTGCTACTTCTTGCTACTAGCCAAGTAGGATAGTTCAGTAAAAAATATAGTCCAACGTGCAATTTGTTTTACTAGCCAGCCAGCTAGTGTTCAGGTTCTTTTTTTTTTTTACTCAGCCTTTGTCTAAAACAATGTTTCCCACCCCAGTTCTTGGGGACCCCCAGACAGTCCATGTCTTTCCTTCCTCCCAGCTCCCGGTGGTGTGTGACTCCTGCCTTTCTGTGTATGACTTTGGTATTTACTAATAATCAGTTAGAGAGCTACCTTTTTGAAATGTGTCAGGCACTGAAGGTCAAACACTGCGTGCAGTAAAAGTTCTGTTATAAAAACATAAGCTAAGAGGGAAACAAGTAAGTACAACTTAATACAGGGCTGAAGTGGAAGGGATGGGGCATTTCATTTCTGTTCCAGCTTCGAAGAGTTACACTGGTGTAGGTGCAGAGTACTCAGCTTAAGGCCTACAGATCCACATTCCAACCACATCACATGCTAAGGACCAAGGGGGCAGGGGGTGCTGGCCATAAAGTTTGCCATTGCTGGGGGAATTTGCCAAAGCAGGGGAACAGGGTGGGGGGTCTGGGTGAGCGCTGGAGATAAAATTTGCCGTGGGCCACTTGTTGAGTACCTGGAGTGTAACTCGTGGACTGGTGTAACCCAACACAAAACCAGCGCCTGCAGGATGCGTCCTAATCATGTACTTTGCGTTGCTTCGGATTGGTTCTTATTTGCAGAGATTTTTTTATGTTTAGTGTTTCATTACAAGATGAACATAGTCAAATAATTGCAAACACTTTTAAACTTTAAAATGATGTATATTCCCTGTTAGGTTAGCATTGTTTACAGAACAAGGTTTCAGTCTTTTACTTAGAAATACCTATTATCAAATATGTACTTGTTCTTTAAGATGCAGTTGAAGATTATTCACTAATGCACAGAAGTTCTTTGTCAAACCCAAACTCCTCCCTCCTCCTGAGCATTTTATTTCCCTTCACCTTGTAGATCTCTACTGCCTCACCATGACGCAGAACTTCAGCCCGAATCTCCTTGACAATACCACCTTAGCTTTTTTTAGGGACAAGTCCATGAGCGGCGCTGTGTCCGCAGCCTATGTCCTCATCTCGCTCATCAACTTCCCCGCTAACGGCCTCTCCATGTGGCTCCTGGTGTTCCGCACCTCTCCAAAGAGACCTTCCATCATATTCATGATCAACCTGACCCTCACTGACCTAATTATTGGCTGTGTCCTGCCCTTCCAAACCATCTACCTAATGAAAGGCTACAACTGGACCTTTGGGTCCAGGATGTGCAGCTTGACAACAGTCTTGTTGTATGCCAACATGTACTGTTCGATTCTGACCATGACCGCCATCAGCATTGACCGCTACATCGGAATCGTTCGGCCCATGAATTTCAAAAATGTTAGAAAGAATTTTTGGGCTGTGATTGTCTGTGTAGTTTTTTGGGCGGTTGTTTTGGCTGTACTGTACCCACTGGAGAGCACTGACCTGATGTATCAGGTACCCGATCTTAATATAACCACTTGTTTTGACGTCCTGAAATATAAAATGCTTCCAACAGTCAAGCACTGGATTCTTTACCTGATGATCTGGTGTGGCGTCTTATTCCTCATCCCCTTCATCATAACAATCTTCTGCTATGTGAACATCATCCACTCTCTAGCCAAGACGAGGAGTGACAGAAAGGACAAGGCCCTACGCCTGGCACTCTACGTGCTCCTTGTGTTCATAGTTTGCTTTGCCCCCAACAACATCCTTCTGGTGGCTCATGGCATTAGAAGACTCTTCTACGGTGACACCTTGTACACGGCCTATAAGCTATCGCTCTCGCTTAGCTGCCTAAACAGCTGCCTGGACCCCTTCATTTATTACTTTGCTTCCAAAGAGTTTCGTCAGAACTTTAGGAAAGTGCTGGGATTGAAGAGAGCAAGGAACCAGGATTCATCCCAGCAGCACACTTCACACCATACCTTGCTGTCGATGAAATGACCGCCTTCGTTATTAACGTAAAACAGCCTAGTAGCTAGCTTTGAGATCTGCGATTTCTGCTGACTTTTGAGTCCAAGTATATGCGACAGCTGTAAATACACATATCAGCTTTAAGAGCAATCTGTGAATTTTTGTATCACAATTCACAGCTGATTTTATTACATTTATTACTATTCTCTAGTTTTGATGTATTTTTCATTGAAGACCTAATGATGTAATTTTGTAATTGAGTATTAACATGAGTATTAATATTTCAGATTCAAGACAATTATGATACTTGTTATGCTTCTTATCATAGTATACTACATGATAATGTATATTATACGCTAAAAAGTCTCTTGTGGGCTACTTTGAGTATTTTGCCATTAGCTGTATTATCGTTATCATTACCATTGTGTTCTTTTTTGCATTAAAATGACATTAATGTAATATAAATTAGTATCAGTTGTGCTCTTAATGTTTTTTTAAATTACTATTTAAAAATTAATGCTGCCTTATTTTTAAGTATTACAGTTTGTGTTTAAATGTGAATGATTTAATCACATTGGGGCTCAGATTTATGCGGTAAGCCTCTACATTAAAACAACACCGGAAGTGGTATTTGCCTTCAGAAACCTTTGTTTAGTTGAACACAAACATGTTGTCCAAACAGTTTACCACCCAAATTAATATCAAGCATTCAGTTTCCAGTAATATTAAATCTCATTCACTTCACTCTTTTTTTATTTTGATTTTTTAAACAGCAGTATAAATAGCTGAAACAGTTATATACTGCAAAGCAAAACTGTGGTTTCTATTCATTATTTATACAAATCCACTTATATTTTAATTCTGCCTATCATTACATCATCATTAATGAAGGCATCAGGCCTTCTCATCAGATGGAATGACCTGACAGATATTAAAAATGCAAAAAAGATGATACATGAAATGTATCGTAATTAGTTTTGAATTTGTGTAGCAATTATTTTTAATGACGTAAGAACCAAGCATTCAATTTAAAGTGAATAACCTTTTTTGTATATTTCTATTAATGTATAATTTATTATACATAATGTCCACAATGTTATGTTTTGACAAATATTCAATATGAAAGTAAAAATGTTTTATTTCAGTCTTGAGTACTGTCTTCATTTTAAAAATGGGTATAATAATTTAAAATCATGTTTTCAGTAATTATTTATATACTTGTATAGCTAAATACAGAAAAACTGGTTTTATGAGGATTAGGGCCACCATGAAAATATTATTTGAATTCTGACTTTAATGTCAGAATTCTGACTTTAATCTCAGAATTCTGACTTTTTTTTCTAAACTCAGAATTCTGAGATTAAAGTCAGAATTCAAATAATATTTTCATGGTGGCCCTAATCCTCTTCCGTAATTAGTATTAATTACCTAATGCTAAAAATGCCCACTGATAGTAGTGATATATGCTACAAAATGTCTTAACGATACACAGCTGACTTTTCAAAACTAGCCCAAGTGGTGATTTTTGTGAACATTGTCAAAGGCGGTCAAATTCAACCTCAGCATGAGTTTCAAATTCAGTGATTGTTCTGGGAAACTTAGCATATGATTCTGAGAAATAACAGAAAACCCAGAAGCTGTCACCTCATATTTTACCCAAAGCAGATCGTATCCATTTAAACAGCTACAGCCAAACTCCGCCTCAGTAATTGTCAGGCTGTAGGTTTATCTTCCCACTCAAACACCCAACAGCATACATAGAATGCCGGTCTATTGCAAGGCATGGTTGTAAATTCATGTTCTTTGCATACCCATTAACCACTACCAGATCTTATACTTAGGCATTCACTTGTCACTCTGCAAAACTCTTAAGTTTACGATTATCTTTATTAATCTCAAGTTGTGGTGCATACAGCAGCAGGAACATACTGTAGTGCACAGATGAACATACAGCGGGGAAAATAAGTATTCGGTACACTGCTGATTTTTCAAGTTGTCCCACTTACAAAGAATGGAGAGATCTGTCATGTTCATCGTTGGTACACCTCAACTGTGAGAGACAGAATCTAAAAAAAATCCAGAAAATCACATTGCATGATTTTTAAATAATAAATTTGCAATTTATTGCATGGAATAAGTATTTGATACAATAGAAAAATAGAACTTAATATTTGGTACAGAAACCTTTGTTTATGCATACCCTCTCTGTAGTCCTTCTAAATACTGCAGCACCGGCGGGGCGCATTTCCCAGCATGCCCCGCGTGCAGTTGTAATTAGCCCTTGTTGTGTTGTTAATATTAATGGTTACATTTCCTTATTGTTGCACGTGTGTTTGCCCGTGTCTTGCGTGTACCCGGTCTGATCTCCGTGTCTAATTAGCTTACGCAAATATCCCACCGTGTATGCACCGTGTATGCATCTCAGAGTTTGGCGTCTGGCAACCTTCTGTTTCCCGTGTGTGACTGGTGCGGCGCTGGAGCGTTAATAAAGAGCGTTTTCTCCGACAAATGAGTCTCCGTGTTTCTGTTTGCTCCCGCGATGCCTCGGCCCGACGCCGCAATCCATATGCTATTTGGGTCTGAAATAGGTGTATTATTCTTGTTATTAAGGATGCACCGATCCGATATCTACAGTATATCCGTAGACTATATCGGTCCAATGATGGTTTAAATAGGTGGATCGGATGTCGGTAGCATTGGAGTGATCTATGGGACCAATATTTTTGAGTCTGTGGGACCAATAAGTTTTTCTGTATTTGTACACGCGCGGTTAAACCAGCACGTTTTGGACCACAGCACAGTATGGAGGGAGCTAACAACAAAATGTCATCTGTGTGGAGGTATTTCACTCTTGCTACACCAACAAGTTCCACGGTTGTTTGCAATATCCGCAAAGCCAATGTTTCGCGGGGAGGCAGCAGCACTACAAAGTATAACAAGACAACTGAAATGGTCTAGAACCGCCACTGGTCCTGGTCACGGATGTACCAGTGAGACGCACACTGACAATTTGTTCTCTTTTGAACTCCGATATGTTGTATTTTATGTACAGTTGTGCGATTGCACTGCTAATTCGACCTTTACACTCTGTTCTTACCGATGGAATGTGCAACCACACGTATATATAGGCGTGAAACCTCAAATACTATTTTGGTGAATGTTTCAGTTTCATCGTCCATCCTCTGTACATTTATGACTTTATACTTGCGCTGCTGCTGGCATGGTATGGTGAAGAAATAAAGTCTGGTCTCCATGCCTCCTTGGAAGTTTCTGCGGAAGCAAAGAGAGGAACTGTGGCAGTCAGAGATGGAGGACAGTCACGATGCAGGAGGTGCAGTTGATGGCCAACCAATGCAATTGTCAATGCTTGGGGGCGACGTCACCACAGCGGCCCTGTCCTCCATTTTACAGATGTTACAGCAATACCTGCCAAAAGCACAGCATTTAAGAGCAGAGATATGGCCATCTGCAGATCCAGCTGAATGTGATGCAGCAGAAACTGGAGGAGAACCAGGAGTGCCAGCTAGAACCAGGAGTGCCAGTCTAGCAAAACCCAAACCATACTGCCCAGGGGTCAACCTTATCTGATCTAGTGTCTCCAACGTCTAGTCCATCTGGAGGAGGTTCCTAGTCAAGAGCAGCCGTGATAAAGCTGGAGTAAACATGACATTGATCCGCCTTTCCGTTCCTGATTTACGTGCATTAAAGCCGCAGTATGCTGCCTTTCGCTTAGGTTATGTTTAACATTGTAGAATCTGTTCATTTACGCAGCAAATCCAGTTCCCAGGCTGCATTTTCAGGTTATATCATCACATTCTTCTCACTGTTATCTCACTAGTTTTTTGATGACTAGCTTCAGCCATTCTGGCAAAATGAATAAAGTAGCGAAAGTGAAAGTGAGCCTCTAGTGGCAGATCCCTCATTCTATGTTAAATGACAAGGGCTGATGATTAGACAATCATCACCTTAGACACAATCACCTTGGACAATCATCACCTAAGACACAATCACCTTAGACAATCATCACCTTAGACACAATCACCTTAGACAATCATCACCTTAGACACAATCACCTTAGACAATCATCACCTTAGACACAATCACCTTAGACAATCATCACCTTAGACACATTTCAACTGTGTTGGTCTTTTAACTCCCTGTTCCTTCTTTATTACATATTTATTGTATTGTTACTTTTTTTGGTCATATTACTTTCACTGCTTTTTTGGGGGGAAGCTGACCACCTTGCATTTCACTGCAGATTATGCTCTGAATGTGCACCTTGCATGTAACAAAACCTTTAAATCCTGGTACACATCCTGCCCGTTGCCTCGATCTACCGCTTACTTCCTAGTATAAAAACGAATGACCTCTGTTCTGATTTATGTTGTCTGTTGTGGGTTAGCCACAGGGTGCATTAGGCACTGAGTACTGACCTCTTTTGTTACTTCCCGGATGAGTTTATGCTTATTGTACCTTTAAACTGAATACCCGAAAAAAACAGTGTACAAGGCTATAGAAGAGATTTGTTTCCTGACAGTGTCTTAAGAGTAGTTGTCAGGTAGCGTAGCCCATTATCTGGATTCCATAAATGGTAAAAATCTCTACTTCTGTGTATGTTGATTGCTGATTTGGGAATAGCTTGATGCTTCTCCTGAAGGTGGTTACATGTCCTTCATGACAACTTTGTGCTTGAACTCTCATCCCGGTTTGGAAGTGAAGATATCTATGGTGCTTTTCCACTGCCACCAGGAACCAAGCTGTACCATACCCATACCAGGAACTGACGGTTTTACACTGCAAAGTATAGGAGCCGTGCCCGACCCGTACCTCTGATGACATGGGTACCAACCTGAGCTGGTTGCATCACCATCTGACTGGTTGAAATGCACATTCACAAAAACGTCCTCCATAGAATATAAATAAAGCTTGTCATATTTTTTGTAACTGTCAACAAAATGTGTATTTCTTCCTGCTACCCATCTAATCAACCCACTTATCCTGGTGAGGATCACAGAGTCTTAATTTTTATGGTTTTTATGATATTTTACAATATTATATAGTATACAGTATAGTATGACCTATTATATTTAATTTCAGTCTGAGACTCAAGACTTAAGAGTTCTTTAATGTCAACATATCCAAGTACACCATTATCATGGTACAAATACCATTATCCATGGGCTTCTTAAGGTGCTACACATAAATACAATTACAATAAATAAATGTTTAACATTTATAAATAAACATATATTATCAAAGTTGAAACAGCTTTAATTAGTAGTGTTTCTACCCATCACATTTTGCCATGATACAAATGCAGTTATATAAAAATGCGTTACTATGTGGCGTAAGCACTTTCATGGGATGTAGCCTTAACACATACATCTATTTCAATATTCACTATACGGAGCCTTATTTCCCATCATCCTTATTATGATTACTTATGGCCAAGTCTAGTTGGTACTCTAGACACCACTAAACAAGAGTGTGACACAACAGCCCACAAGGAAGTAGTAATGCACCAGCAGGGAGCGATCAACACCACGTAGACCTACAGTAACCATGGTTTCCTCAGAACTAAATACAAGGATGTGGCTGGCAGTAACTGCTCCAATCAGGGGATGGGATTGTCTTTAAGCTACGCTTTTTCAGTAGAAAAAGGAAAGGGTTACCTCTGTCCATGTGACTTCTGGAGCCCACAGGACAATCGGTAATTGTTCCTGACTTTTTGCCTCTTTCCTTAACTATGACTTTTTGAGGTGTTTTGGTGTCATCAATAAACAGACAATGGAACATACTACAACTGGACCTCAGTCAGCTCCAATACAGCATGCAGGAAGGATGGAACTTTGCAGCTATATTGTTAAGATTAAGGAGTTTATTGTCATATACATGGTAAAAGAGTCCATGCTATGAAAATCTTACCCTACATGTTCCAACTGGACACAGCTGACACAGATCAGACATAAGACACAATATCAAACACATAAACATGTATAGTGCAGTAGACAAATATACATAAAATATATCAATATGATACAAATATGAAAAAGTCATTCCTCAAGTAGAGGTAGATAGATTGTGCAAAGTCTGCAGAATTGTCCTGTGTGTGTTGGAGGGGCACTCACTGCACTCACTGCA